AAAGGATTCTATGATTCTATGTTTGCAGCCCCAGCCTACACAGGCTCTGGAGGTGTCAGATGTAGTGGGACCGGAACAGTGAGGTGCAAGACTGGGACACTAATTCTGTGAGCAATCCTGGGGACACTAATTCTGTGAGGAATCCTGGCACTGCACCAGGTTCACAGTTTGCTCCTGGTAAGCAGGCATTTGTGATGCGGCCCCATCCTGCATGCCTGCTCCACAGAGACCTTGCCATTCATTTTCTGACTTTTCATATACTTCATTTATAATGATAGCTGCACAGAACCAATCCTAGAAGAGAGATACACCATCAACCTGCAATCAAACCTGTCAGTTAGGTGCTGATTGATTCCTTTCAACAAAAGCAGGCAGGTATGTAACACCCGGGGCAGAATTTAGCTTGTACTGGTATTAATTCCCAAGTCCTATCTCAAATCTCGATTCCCAGGTGAACACGAAGGCCTATAAAATAGACTCTTCACCTTCTTCACAGAGATTCTTTATGCTGCAAGGGGTAATTAGAGAGCACAAATGTTAGAGCTGGGCTAGGAAGCTCAAGACACAGCACACAGACCAAGCACACAGGAAGGCTGAATCACCACATCCTTTCAGGAAAGGAGGGCTGGAGAACTGCTCTGGTTTAAACACAACAGAAGAGCTTTTCATGAAGGCAGCGAATTGGCAAGTGCAAAGAAACTGCCCCAAGCAAGCCCAAGGCAAGTGACTACCTGTCCGCCATGCTGTTCCTGGTCTCCCTGGTGATGTCAGGGGCCGCTGGCCAGGGCTGACTCACGACGCTGTCAGAAGACGCGTTTTCCTGAGTTAAGGCCGTCTCCAGTAAGGACGGAGCGTTCAGTCTGTCCACCTCCACTGGAGGCATGTCCAAAGAGTGGTGGCTGTGCTCGGAGCCGTGCCGGTTCCTCGGCGACAGCAGGTGCAAGGCGGAGGCGGCGGAGGCCATCGTGTCGGCGTGGTGAGAGGGCTCCAGCACCTCCGCGGGGAGCCCGCCCGGGGCCGCCCCAAAGCTGCGCTGCAAGGTCTCAGAAGCAATCTCTGGGATATCCTGGGACATGGCTGTGGAAGCAGAGGAAATGACGTCTGGCGAGCGCTCACGGGTGGGAGAAGCCTGGGGTACCACCAAGGGCTCCACCTCCTGCAGTTCCAGTGCTAGAGAGGGGTTTCCTGCTGCGACCTGAACACAAAAAAAATCAAACGAGAGCCTTCAGGGTACGTGTGGAGACAACCCAAGAACCCCACACACCTTACACCAACCACCTCTGGAAAGAGCCAGCTCTATCCTCTCCTCATGTGATCCCTGTGCTCCCACTGCTCAGCAGATGGAGAAGGGCCCCAAGACTGGAAGGCACTCTCAAGCCGGGCTAGCGCCACACTCAAGCCAACGTTAGTTTGAACACGTTTTCAAAAGAAAAGGTCATGCCAGTTCTACCTCCCTGCTCTGCCCCAGGTTCCTTTATCTTTGAGGAGAAAAGTTACGTTTTAACATGAAAAAGTTCATCTCCTGCACTGAAAGCTTATTTCAGTTTCAAGCTTTGCTCATAATCCATTTTACATCACACCCATGAAGAAAACTTTAGGAATAGAAAATGACTGTTTCAGACCCGTCAGACCAACAAGGAGGAAGAAACCTTTCCAGGTAGCAGCATCTCCTAGCACAAAGGCCAACCATGTCCAACCACTGTGGTGGTGACAGCACAAGCTAGAGCTGTCTCTAGTTTTCAGAGACACGCTGTTCAACACGAGGTCAAGTCCCATTAACACAGGTAAACCCAGGTGCAGATCTGGGCCAGCAGCTCTGTCTTCCAAAAGGGCAGATGTTGGCCCTGATAATATCAAAGTCAGTCTGATTTCAGCTTGTGTGGGCCCATAGAGAGTCTCCTGGCCACTGAGAAGGAAGCAGCATCTGGAACCTTACTGGAACAGGTGCCTTTGGTGTTAGCTTGTCAGGGAGGCCGGGGATAAGAACGGAATGGCTCCTAGGACTAGCCTGGAGGCTGCTGCTGCTGCTACTCAGTGTGAGGCTGGTGTCCAGCTGCATCTTTGGGCTCACAGTCAAGTCTTCTGATGGCCTGCAGAAGACAGAGACACAAATGAATCAAGATGGCCAATGGAATGATACAGATCTGTATCAAACGTTGGTGATGGTGTTTGATGAGGATCACTTTGTTCACTGGTGAGGTGAAGAGATGGAATACACAGGTCAGTGGAAGAGCTCAACCCAAACTTCACCGGTGTTCTCCAAGTCCCTGCTCCTTCCATTCCCTGTCAACAAGCACCTGCACCTCCTGGTCCCCAGGACTGGGACTAGGAGCCCAAAGAAAGACCAAATGGAAACAAAATAACAGAAGAGCATCACAATCTTTTAGAATTCAAGGTGTCAGTGAGAAGATGGATCTGTTATGTCTTCAACTCACACTGTACAGAGTTTAGGGAGAAACAGGACACTCCAGGATAGGTCTGTGTCCTTTTCCCAGCCCAGAGAAATGAAGCTTTCACCTGTTATGCAGCCCAGCCCACCACAACATGAGTAAGATTTTCCTAACAGCCCCAGTGATCTCCCTGTCCTTGGTGGCTGCAGCATTCTCTTACCTGTCAACAACGACAGCCCTTTGGGAGCACATGTAAAGAAACACAACGGAGAAGCAGTGAGAGAATCCCTACGAGGCACAAACCAAACACTGCTGCTGGCCCCTTGGATGGCAACAGGCATGCTCCAAGCTGCAGCAGAGATGCAAACAGTTGCCCACACAGGGACTCAGGCCAGTTTCTAACTGGTTACAACTTCCTCTCCTACAAAATCCTACAGCTCTGCACCACCCTGAAGGACTGTATCGGTTCAGCTGTGGATATACTGATACATGAGCTACTTACCTGGGCATAGAAGTATCTGTGACAGAAGTGCTGCTCATCGCTGTGACTGCAGTCAGGGAACTGACACTGCTGCCTGGAGAAACAGTGATCTGTAAGAAAACACAGGATCAGTCAGGATGGCACAGGAGAGTCCAACAGCAGAATTTAACCTGAGAACGTTGTCTCCAGGATTCCTACAAAGTCTTTGGTGAAGAGGGAAGAGAAAAAAATAGGGTGAATTGTACTGCTAGGGTGCTCAGGTGCTGGTTGAAGTCAAGCCCAAATACATCACAGAAACACAGACTGGTGGGGGCTGGGGAAAAAAACCACCAAGCTACTAGACTGACTATTTGCAGATCTCATGCACAAGACATTACAGTCCCACCTACCTACCTGATTGTTTCAGACATTAACTCCCACAGGATCCCATCAGACAGGATGTGCAAATCATCTTCCATTATAGTCATATCACAACCCCAAACACAGGTAAACCAGTAAGAGCTGGGAGACTCCCCATCTTAAATACAGTTATTTAGCAAGCCTGTATTTCTACGTGACACAGCCACCTCAGCAGTTTTGCAGCTAAACACAGTGCCCACAACACAAACTTGAGCCAAGGATTTTAGATGTGCCAACACGTCTTTACTCGGTTTGGTTACACGCACAGAGTTTCCTCTGTGCTCTGCACTCAGGGAGCACAGCCTATCAGAGTCCTTACAGTCTAGAAAATGTTCCCCAAAGTATTAAAATACAAACCCACCCCTCAAACCACCAACCACAGATTCACAGTATGGTTTGGGTTGGAAGGGACCTCTCAAGGACATCTAGTCCAACTGCCCTGCAGTGATCAGGGACATCCCCAACTAGAGCAGGTTGCTCAGAACCCCATCAAGCCTGACCTGGAATGTCTCCAGGGATGGGGCATTGACCACCTCTCTGGGCAACCTGGGACAGTGTTTCACCACCCTCATAGTAAAGACCTTCTTCCTAGGGCCTAATCTAAATCTCCTCTGCTGTAGTTTAAAACCACTGCCCCTCGTCCAATAACAGTGCTGCTCTCTGGTTACCTGTTGAAGAGATGTACTGGGTGTCATGAATGCATCTGGAGTCATCAGTTTAGGTTTGGCATCGTTGGAGAGAGACAGGAAGTCTGCTGGTACCGGCAGATCAGCGATACGCCGCAGGTCTGGTTGAGAGCCATGCACTGACCCCTTTTCAGAGCCCAGCCCTTCTGTGTTTAGATCAGCCATGTGGTCTGGAAAGGCTTCCAAGGGAGAGAAATACAAATCACTTTAGAGAAACTGCCCCCCAAAGCTAATGCTTTAAGTCCTCAAAGTAGGAACTTATACTATAGCCAGCCACACTGGATTCCAAAAAGGACAAGCAAAAGTCCTGCCCATCCTAGTCAAAGCCCAGGGCAAACCAAATCCTGTTGTGCTTAACTTTTGTATGCTAAAGAGTGATTTTATCAGGCTTTGACAGTAAGAGATCCAAGGTTCCTTTCTCTCCTGAACACCAGGGCAGTTTAGCAGCCACATCCTAGAGTGCAGAATGAGCTGAAAGAGCATGCTACACACAGCCCAGTCCCTCTGCTGCCGAAACTCTGCTGCCACTCTCACCTCTTCCACCTCACTAGAGACAAACAGCACGTTTCTGGCAGAAGTGCCAAATCACCTAGAAAGGTGAGCTCAAGCATGCACAAAGCAGTAGTGGTCCCGGCCTAACGTGTCCCCATGTTAGATAGATCCCTCTGGGCTCTAATCAGCTGGCTTACTTCACAGCCAGGCAATGTTCAAAACCCTTTGTGCAATGACACCACTCTATTACAAAGCAGCACCAGAAGCTGCCCTTCTGCTGCCCCCTCAACAACCTTTAAAGGCTCAGCAACACTGAAGATGGATTGAACACAAATCCTCACCAAAGTCTTCATGAGAGCCATGGGCAGGCACAGATGCACTCATGTCAGGGCTATGGAGAGGCTGGAATCTAATCTGCACATCCTGCAGGGCCCTGAAAAAAAAACAACCAGCTCTGATTAGTTTATGAACCAGCAGGAAGTCTAAGGCTTCAAAGATTCCTCTTCACGGAACATGCTTTAGTGGACAGAAGCAGCAGAAGCTGATCCTCATGCAGCTCTGTCACCCAGGGTATTCGGGAGGAGCTTCCCAGCACTTAGACATGAGCACAACTCTTAAGTCATTGTGTACTCATGGCAACAAAAATACTAGCTTACCCCAGCACCATGCAGGGCTGCTTCCTGGTAAGACCACACTGAACACACCACAGCTATAAGTTTCTCTGGGTCTAAGTAATTTTTTTTTTCATGAGCAAAAGAAATTTAAGTTAAATATCTACAAGCACAGACAGCTGCCCATGGTAGCTGCCCTACGTACTCACTTGGTGTGCACACAGAAGAGTTTTATCAGCACACCCGCTGCGGATTCAACAGCCCCAGCTCCCTGAGCACCTTCTGAAATGAGACAAGAGCAAAATGTGAAGATGGATAGAAACTGCAGATAAAGTATTAAAAAAAAAAAACGTGCTGGTTCATCTGCCACATAATTCAGCTTCACTTTTCCACTCTTCCACTCTTTTGCAGAGCTGCCAACATTCACCCAACGGCTGTACCAGTCTCGTTGCTAAGAAAGCTAAGGAGATAAACCATGAAAAAAAAAAAGTATTAGGCATTCCTATGAAATTGTCCCAATTATCTGAGTGACAACCATGGACCTGAAGTTTCAGTCCCAGTCTGCTTCCTGACTTGCTACATGTATCAGTCATTTTTGTTTCTGCATTTCAGAGCAATACGCCACAAATACCAACAGCAACGTGAATTAACTGTTGTTACATACAATAATAAGCACACCCTTTCTCATAAAGATTCTTTCTCACAGGACATACGCTGATATTATTCAAAGCATCTTTCCAAACTTTACTAACAGGAAAGTAGGAGATCAAGAACAAGCCAACAGTTGAAGAGACAATGATGAAGGAATGCTTGTGTGGGACAGTTCTCACAGGACTCGCTGTCATAGTCGCTGTAGTAACAGCCAGAAGAACTTATCTCACGTGGTTCTCAGAAGACACTCCTCTAAAATTAGAGAGTTACTTATTCATTTCTGTTACAAGAAGCTCCGTGGCTTGGCAACACAACTTCCAGACACAATGGAGAAGAACCCCACTTCTCCCTTTGGCTCAGCCTGCACACTGTCCTCACATCTGTCACAGCTCAGGCAGTACGACTCAGAATCGACCAACTGATTTCTCAGACCACATGCTCACACCTCTGATGTTTAACTACACCAAGTTTACTCAGACAAGCAGCCTCAGAAACACATTCTGCCTGCTCTTCCAGGAACCCTTGTGCTCCTGTGAGTCTGCATCAAACTGTGCTGCTGGGACGACCCAGCCCCAGGCTGCCCAAGGAAGGGCACTGGGGGCACTGACACCATGTGATGGCAAAACCATCATGGGTCAGACACCACGCAGCTCATCTTGTACCTGAAGCAAAGTCACTTGCACTCACTACAGCTCACACAGCCCTGGAATAGTGTTTTTAATCACAGGAATATTTATAACACCTCAGTGGAGTTTCTGTGTGGTAAGGGGCAACAGCTTCAGTCAAGGTCGGGAGGTTTGGGTTTATATTAGGAACATGTTCCTTAGGAAGGGGTGCAGATCTGGGACAGAGAAAGAGGGCAGAGACAGAAAAGTCATGTTTGGGACCCTTCAACATGCAACTAGGTGAGGCCATAAGTGAACTGATCTGCCACTAGCAATAGTCCTGCTTCAAGCAGCAGGATGGACCAGAGAACTCCAGAGGTCCCTTGTAACCAAGTCTACCATGTTTCCCTGAAAGTACTGCAGCTGCACAGGATGTATTTCATACAGATGAAGAGAAGAATCGCAGAACCATAAAAACATTGAGGTTGGAGAAGACCTTTAAGATTGAGTCCATCCACTAACCCAGCACTGCCAGGTCACCACATGTCCCTCCGCACCACATCTCCACAGCTTGGAAACCCCTCCAGGGATGGGGACTCCACCACTGCCCTGGGCAGCCTGGGACAGGTTTTGGCAATCCTTTTGGGGAAGAAATTGTTCCTAATGTCCAACCCAAAACACCCCTGGTGCAACTTGAGGCTGTTTCCCCTTGTCCCATCGCTTGTTCCTTGGGGGAACAGACCAGGTTTTCACGAGAAAGCCAGAACCAGCCAAGAAAGAAACCCTGGTCTCACAGCAGGAGAACCACCTACCGACACCCAGGCTGTCATTCTCCTCTTCTGCTGGGAGCACCTCGGTGTGTCGTAACCGACAGCGGCTCACCGCCTGGATGCCAAAGCTCAGGACTGGGTGGGTGAGGAGGAACTCCGAGATGGAGCTGAAGTAAGCTTTGCCCTCTTCTTGGTTCTGCATCAGCTCCATCACATACAAGACCTGGAAGAATCAGACACAGTAAGTCACTGGGCTTTCAGAGCAGACCGTGTGTGCATGTGGTTGGACTACAAAAGGCCAGCACGTGAACCAGACTTGGAACGATGGGAACAACAGGAGGAATAAAGTCTGGGCCATTTGAATTTGAAACTGAACACCCAAGGAAACCACACCACGGTTCTATCCACTCCTGTCGGGTCAGGAACTCAATCCTACTGTGCCAGAAACAGGTTCCTCCACACGAGAGCTTTACTTTAGGGTGAGCAGTAATCCTTAAGGCTTCTCAAGATTAATCAGCTGAATTATCATTTGTCATCTTATGGGGAAAAAGCTGAGGTCAACCTCTGCATTTTTACCTATTAACGTGCAAATCCCAGACCTCAGCAGCAGAGCCAGTCACACAGAAGGTCCTTTCTCCTTCTGTCATCATCACCCACACAGCCAGTAGTAAAATGATCCACCTACTTTTCTCTGCACATCGCTCAGTATCAGATATTCAGCGGAGAGGTCCAGGCAGACTTTCAGGCTGGGAAGAATACTCATGGAGCTGAAGATGTCAGGAGAAAACCTAGATCCACAGACAAGAGGTGGGGGAGTGCAGAAAGCAAGGCTGATTAGCACAACCAGAATGACTGCTGTGAAACTGCATTAGCTAGAAAAACTCCCAACATCTTAAGGGGTTTACAGCCATCCTACAGTGCAAACACCCACCACAACAAAAATATCATTGCAGAAATCAGTCCCGACTTGAGCTAAGAGACCAGCAAGGAGATCACACAGCAGGATCTGAAGGGGACCTGTAAGAAAGCTGGGGAGGAATTTTTTACAAGGACCTGTAGTGATAGGACATAGGGTAATGGGTTCTAACTGGAAGAGGGGAGATTTAGATTAGAAATTAAGAAGTTCTTCACTGTGAAACTGTTGAGGCACCGGCACAGGTTGCCCAGGGAAGCTGTAGGTGTTTCATCACTGCAAGTGTTCAAGACCAGGTTGGACAGGGCTTTGATCAACCTGGTCTGGTGGGAGGCATCTCTGCCCATGGCAGGGGATTGCAATTGGATGATCTTGAAGGTCCCTTCCAACCCAACCCATTCTGTGATTCTATGATCTAATTACGGATCCTGAACATTAAGATGAAAGTCTGTTGCTACTGAACGTGTTCCACATTCATAGGAGGACAAAAGCCAACGCTACAGATTAAAAACAAAAATCCACCAAACCTAAATAACCCTTGTAGAGGTTTTGGACCTTCTGTAGCTCGAGGTGGAAAAAGCAGCACTCAGTTGTAGGCTCTGTTCTTCGCACTTTAAAAGGGGAATTCAGAAGTGGCCTTAAGCATGCATGTGATCAAAGAGGCCACAATCCACCAGCAGAAGCGTAAAATCGGGGAACATAAACTGACTGAAGGAACACTCTAAAGCAGAATTTGAACTTCTGGACCTATATGGATCAGCAAATAAGCCTTGTAAAACTGTTGGAGCTCTGTCATCATAGCAGCTCTCCTTATTTAAATCAGAAAATGCAATAATAGGAAAAGATCTCAGATTGGTTAGGTCTGTGCTCTACAGAACAAAGTGGGGACAACAGGTCTTGGTAACACTACAGAGACTGTGTAAGCTGGGCAAAGGAGGAGGCTCTAGCTGGGCTAGAGGAGACCCCACTGGAGGTCAAGGATCAGCTTTGCAAAGTGAGCATAGCTGGAAATTTGGAGCTTTGTTATGAAACACTACTCAAAGTAAATCCAACCCCTCAGGGGAGTCTCCATATTGACACCTACCGCACAGTCTGCAGACAGGTCCAAGACACAGTGCACCACATCTTCAGTTCTCTGTTCTGATCTGCTCCTGTGATGAGAAATCTCCAGAAGGGAACCCTGCAGGCACAACAGAATGAAGTTCTTTAAGAGAGCATCTGGTCCTTCCCATAAGGACATTACAGACGGAAGCTCCTCAGAAGTTGCCCATAGCTGATTGTCCCCAATAATGTCTTAAAGTTGCCAGAAAATCTCAGCTTTTGAGGCAGATTAGAAACCACTGTAACTCTCAAGAACCTTACGACCACACCCAGTTGAAGAAAGACTTTTTTTTTTTTAGTTATTTTTCAGTCAAATGCAGTAGGAATTTGGAGGATAACAGGCCAGTTCTAACTGACCATTCCACAAACCTGAAAGGACTCATCAATTTAGAATTTTCATTGCTTTCATAGAACTGACACAAGGATTAAGGTCACTTTAGGCTGTGCTCTAGAGGCTTATTTTTATATCACAAGAAAGCTGACTACAAAGTGGACAGGACTTGCTCCTGTCACAATGCTAAATTTTTACCAGCACAATGCAGTCACAAGAAACCCTCCAAAGGCAAAGAGAGAAGACACTACTAAACTTTGATACTCCAAGCACAGGACTGGGGACTTACTCTGGGTCTTGTTTTTTATGGTTGTCACAGAAGAGCAGGCAGGACAGAGGCCTGCCATCATGGGGCTTCCACTCATGAAGACATCTAGGAAAGAAACAGAGGAAACATCCAAGTGTGCAGGGAGCTGTCAACAAGGAAGAGAAGAGGTGGGCGCTGAACACATCACCCCTTGTCCAAAGACAGCATGAAGCAGTGGCCACAAGTGTTATCAACTTATAGCTGTTTACAAGCTTATATAAAAAAAAAAAGGAGATCACAGCCTGTGCAGCCATAGATCACGACCAATAAATAAAAATCACGTGTTGTCATTTGGTTTGGAGTCTTAAGAAGGGTACAATACATAAAGGAAGTCAGCACTGAAAGGAACAACGCAGAGCAGCTTTCTGCACACACTGAGACAGCACAGAAGAGCTTGACTACAGCCTGTGCAAAGCACAGAACTCCTTCCAGACACAGCTCTTTGCTCTTCCCCCAAGTCCACCCAACCTTGTGTAGTATTTGGTGCTACAACTCAGTATAAGTGAGAATTTCACCCTTTATAATGTCCTGAGGATAACTACCACAGGTGCTTGTGTCAGAAATTCTCATAAAGAATCCAAATCTTTCATTTTCTATTTCGCCCATTACCTTGGCTCGTCTTGCCCCTCAATATAGATTTGCCAGAATTTGACAAAACCATCATGGCTTGCTGTGGCCAACACAGTTCCATCTGGAGAAAGGGCTCCCTCGCTCAGGCACTACACAGAGAGAAAAGAAGATACAGAAAAGTAATTTTACAGCTTTTTTATTTTGCAGGAAGAAAGAGTTCTCTCTTCAAACAGACATTTGATTAACAGTACAGGAGGTGAGAGTGATTTCACCATGCAGCTTAACCCTCCAGAGAAGAAGTGATGGGACTCTTTATTGTAGCAACAATTAATAAATCACTTTTTCCAGCCTGCAAATTTAAGCACAATAGATTGTGCTGCTACTGTTCCCAGTTGTGTTATGAGCAGAGCTCATCTTGTTTGGGGATTTTTTTTGGCTTTTCACGATCATCATCTTTTCATCTAAGTGATCCAATTACTTTGTCATCATCCTGTTTGAGAAATGAACTCGGACTCTTTCCAGTTGTTTCTTTTTATATTCAAAATATCACCCAGTGGATGCTCAGCTACAGCCTTGGTCCACTGTATTCCCAGATCTATATACTCATATACATATGCATTCACAGATAGATTCATTGGGGAAATCACAGAAGAATGGCATCAGGCTTCATTTTCCTCTTCTCATCCAGCATTAAACCAGTGAAGTGTTCTGTTTACAAGGAGTTATAGTGAAATAGTTGAAGTACAGCGCAGGCTGTCCCACTGGCCCTTGGAAATACAGGTGAGTTTTTTCAAGAGCCATTTTCAAAGCAAATGACTCAACTTGACTCTTTTTACCCAAAGGTTGCTCACTAATAGTGTCTGTACAGAGCCCGCGGGTTGTGACGACAGTGCAGATGAGTAAGAAACTGTTGGGTTTTGGTTTTTTACAGCCAACTGTCCTATGACCTGCAGCTCCTGAGACACTACAACCCAAAAGACAAGCTAAGTGATCTGTAGTGATCACCTACATGATAGCAGTAAAGAACAAAGCAGGTTCATACCGTGCTGTGGCCTTTCACTACGATGAAGCCTTCTTTGATGCTAGGCACCTCCACTGGCCAGGAGCTGTTGTTCGCTCGGATAATGTCCAAATCCCACACCTCTGCCTGGAAAACACACATGTGGCATAGCTTTATTTCTACAACTACTCGTCTGATTCAGTAGGTGATTCCTTCTATTTTCATCTTATATCCTGCCACACCAGCCCAATGGCAAGTATGTGACATAAACCTTCCCACTTCCACCTGATTTGGCCATTAGATGGCTTTCCTGGCACCACAAATAGAGGTAACTGCTCTTGGCAGTGGTAGCTGCTGCTCACCAAAGCCCCTCCCCCGGGAACCAGCTCAGCCTGGACACGAGTGATGCCTCTGGCCCTCCACATTGCTTCCAGTGGTTCTTGATATATGATGGCAAGCAGGAGTTATCACTTGCCATCCTCCTGAGGCCCAAAGAAAGATCAGTATGATCTCTCCTCAAAAGACAGAAATCCCACATCTCATACTATTGGAGGATCCCTAACATGGATTAGACAGAGCCTTTACAACTCTAACCATAACATCTCTTTCCTTCATTAGATTCTCTCCCTCTAACAATAACAAGGGCCAATGTTTCAGAAGTGTGGTTTCCTTACCCTGTCCTCATGCAGCAATGCCAACGTTTGACTTCCCTCTTCACCACTCTCCTCATTATCATCTGGGATGAAAGGGCACCAGATGATTCTTCGAGAGGTGTTCAACGGGGTGTTGCCAGGTCGCTTGATGTTAACCAAGATCTCCTCTCTGGTCACCATGGTTAAGGAAGGGAACATTCTGGCCGTGTAATTAATGCTCAGCAATAACCTATTCAGGCTTGGTCCTCTGTTAGAGACTATCAAACCTTAAGATTTTTTGGATCAATGTGGTCCAAAAAGAAACCAGGTTAAAGGATTCTGCTAAGAAAGCAGACAAGCCAGCTTTCCTTTACCAGCACTGATCTTTAAGGTCCCTTCCAACCCAAACCACTCTATGATTCTATGCTTAAAATTAAGAAGCCACAACCCAAGATGACATATCCCATAGGCTGATGTGCACTGAAAAGCACTGAGCAGTCACTCCGAGCAATTAAAAGGAGAATATTTAGGGCAATGAACAAAACATTGAAAATAAATTTCAGGACCACTGAAGAAAGGGATGACAGGTTTGGAAGGGAGGTAGTGAGTGGGAGAGCAGCACTACATCCTCTTCCCCAGAAAAGTGACCGAGGAAAAGAGCTAGAATCAGACAAATGAGAATAAAAAAGCTCTGTCACACAGTTAAGGTGACACCATCCCTGTGTAAGGCCAGCTAACACAGACCAACACTTCTCACTGACTACTTCTGCCTGCACCAGAAGGACCACGGAGGTGTCATTCCAAGGACTTCAAGTAACAATTGTGCAGAACATAGGCCCAGACTGACTGACTCCATACCCTGGAAGGGGCAGAACTATTGACCTTCCCCCTGCAAGCTACTACTCCAGAAAGGCTCCGAAATAAGTTGTAATTTTGAGCTGGCATTCACATCTAACCACTACACAAAGACTGACAGGAGGTGTATTTTGACAAGATACTGGATTTTCTCTTTATCCATGGCCAGGCGCCAGACGAAAAGGTTCCCAGCCTCATCCAGACACGCCAACTGGTTGGAGTTGAGATGAGCAAAAGCCAGGTCTGCCACGCTGCCTGTGAAGCCCTTCAGCAAGGTCCGCTCGGCAGTGCTGACGCTCAGCACCCGCACCATGGCGGAGCCGTTGCTGGCAGCTGCAGGAGGGACACGGGCACAAGTCAGTCACTGTTTCTCCACCCATGGCCCCTCAGGGCTGGCTGCCTTTCCAGCCTTCCACCCATCACCGCCCAGCACCCATCCCGCTGGCAGCCGCCCCTGGCAGGCAACCGCCCCCCCCCGCTGCCACCTGCCACTGGCAGCACGCTGGAAACCCTTATCAACAGGTAGGGTGTTAAGAAGCCCTTTTGAAATCCGTGGCACAGGCACAAATATTCACTGCACTTGTCAGCTCTGGTGCAGGAGATCAGAAGGGCAGCATCAAGGACTTGGCCTAGGACAAGCTTAATTCCTCCTATCTCCTGTTTCTTGAGCAGCGCAAACTCCAAGTTGTTCTACTTAAGAAGAAGGCAACAGAAGTTGACTTCTCATAATTCCCAGGATTATCCTCACAAAACAGGTCTTCTTTAAGTGCAAGGCTTAAATCTTCAGCCCAAGCACATGCTGAAGCTGCCAAACCTCCAACGCTGACCTCCAGTGATGGTGAATTAATTTTAATTGCAATTTCGTTCTCAGTAACTGAAGAAAAGGGGTTACTGTGAGCTCAAGTGAGTCACTTGTGTAGCTCAAATACACATTCTGTAAGGGGAATGTGAAAAGCATAAACATTCACCTGGCAAAAAACACTGCAATTTGGCTTCCATGACTAAAAAGAGTACGCTTTAGGGCATGCACATGCCAAGCAAAGCTTCCAGTTTCCCCACTTCAAACATCCCTATAATGATGCAGTCTTATGTAGACCATTTTGCTTCAGCTTCTTGATGCTCAAGCCCTAGTAGACCCATCAGCTTTCCATACTGCTACTGCAACCAAGTTTTAATACTTTTAAAAAGGGCAAGACACCCTAAAGCTGCTCTAAAATAACCTCAACTACAAAAAAAAAAATACAGAAGGAGAATAGTAGATTTCAGAAAAGCCCAGACAAACTGATGGGTGCTAGAATTAAGAAGAAAGGGATAAAGCCCCAAACACTGCGTGCTTATATGAGAGCAGACATATTGTAGATGTCCAAAATGACCAGGTGTTTATTTCATGTATGTTGGGAAATAATCTTTCCCCACGTTGTTCTGCTTTTCTCTTCCTTCCTGCTGTGAAATTTGGCTCCTCTAAATTTAGCCTTAAACTTGATTCTAAATTTATGCAAGCAAATCCATCACAAATGTTCACCTGCTCAAATTACCATGGGGCTGGCTGTTCCTGTGCTTAGCTACAGAGGAGCTCATTTGCTGCAGAAATGTTTAATTTGAGGAGTAATCTGAACGTCAGCTCACTGTCCAATGAAACCAACGTAGTCCTTCAACTCTTCCTCCATCTCTGCTGTGTCCTTCTCTTTATTTCTAACTCCAGGAAAGCTTTCCTTCTCAGTGGAAATGCTCCTACACG